AGAATTAAGTTGGAACAAAGCTACTGCAAGTAAATGTATGTGTTTGTGTCCCACATAAACTAGTAATTCCAATGAAAGAAGAAACCTCCAATGACAAACGCAGCAGGCAGGTCACAAGCTGTTAAATATAGCATCACCTGTCTTTCAGTACATATAAAACTGACTTTGCTGAAAATGTTTTAATCATTCCTCAGGCAATTTACCTCTCTTGCCCACTTGCTGACCATCTGTTATTCCAGTTTCTAAATAATTTCATTGTGTCATCATATTAGTTAAGTTTTAAACTAGCCAGCATTTGGATCTTAATCAGCTACACTGGAGATCTTAAGTATTTCTCAAGTAATTCAAAAAACTTTACTTACAAAGTTCTGTGAGAACTAAAAGATGAAAAAAATAGATGTAAAGACACTGCCAAAACATGTCAATTAAACAGGCAGTGAGTGCACTTTATTACAGAAATCCTGCACACACTACAGCACACTGAATTAATATAGAAAATCAATATGACCTTGCACAACAAGTAGCACTGAAGAAATGAATAAGGCAGCAAGTCTTGCAGATTCTCCTGTTCACAGGAGAAGACAGACACACTGACACATCCTTCTCCACAGCCCAGGTAGAAGTTCAAGATACAAGACTGAAAACCTTTAATCCAGTTTGGAAAGTAAGAGAATAAATACAATGGATCTTTTCCCAGCCAATCCCTTTTTACAAACACCAGTCTACTATAAACATTGTTTTTCTTATAAATGCATACATAAAGGGGAGTCATCATATGTTTACTTAATAACAGAATTCACTGCTTACATGCTTTGAAGACTGACAAACTATTCTGGTAAAATAACAACTGCAGCCACCCACATTTTGATTTGGTCTCCCAAAGGCAAGCTATCAGAAATGCTTAAAGTGCTATGTGCTTGCATATGGCACAGTACATATCTGTGTACCAAATTATGTTAATGTATAAGTTACAAATCTATCTAACAAATTCCATCTCATACTGTGTGTCAGGTTTTGAGAAGCCACATTTGTTTGACCAAAGGGATTTGTTTTTGAAATATCCCTTAAAGTTCTGGGCAGGCAGTTCCTTAAGCACTTAGAAACATTTAAAGAAATACAACCAAAGCATTTGAATTATTTTTTTTTTAAAAATATAGATATAACTTTACTGATTAACTGTTGCAGGTAACTGTTACTGAATAATTGTTGCAGTTATTTTAGGCTGTGAATAGACAGCTTAGTTTACATATCTACATTTGGGAAGGTTCCACTGATACAGCTGCTTCCATTCACAGAAAAAAAATATAGATTTACTCTAAATGCACAGACTCGTTTTAAATAAAGTAAATTCACAGAAGGTAAATAACTCCGGAGATCAGTTCTGGCAAAGGAAGTGTAAAGACGTGACTCACAGGTGTTACAGAAATACTGCTTACATAGTTTCAAATGGGGAATTAAAAAGACTTATTTTAAGAGCTATTTTCTCAACCTCTTCCTATGTCAACATCACCAAAATGGTATATTATTTTGCAGAATTGATTTGGAAGCACAATATGGAAACCTTCATTTTCAAGCAGAAAAATTTAGATTCTAACTTTTGAGAACATCACCTTCTGTGTGACAAACAGTTTATATAGTATTTTCTTTCTAGTATGTGGGCTGGACAGTTCCTACTACAGAATTTACAGAAGACTGCTAAAATAACTAGTTATTCACCATTCCTATCAGTGCAGAAACAAATATTCAGAAACTATAATGAGATTCCAAAGCAGGATTAGTGTAAAAAGGTGATGATAAACACCACTCCTCTTGGGTTTGTTGATGTTCTTGTAAGGGCTTTTTATGCAGCTTGCTTTACAATTCTCAGACTTTAGCATTTGTGTTTTCTAGTCTTTTTCTGCTTTAAAGACTAGAACTGAATGGAACCAAGTTTTAGAAAATTATTTTTTCAGAACAAATCCAAATTCCCTGAAATTTGCACAGTCCACTGGAAACTTAAAGTAGCTAAGCCAGCAACTCCACTGTTCTTTCTATATTTCCATGTAAAAATACTTGCCAGATGCCAATATTGATATGCTAGGGTGGCTCTCAACAACTGTCTCTGCCTAGGGAGTCAGAGGTACTCTTTACCAGCCTTTGTAATCAGCCAGATTTCCATCTGTTCTGCACATCTAAGGCACACAAGTCCATGAATGATTCAGTTAGACAAGGCAGGGAGGAGGAACAGGAATCATGTGCTTTGTTGAGGAAGTCAGCTTATAACAATGAACTGTTTTTCATTGTTTTGCCATACAAATGCAAACAGTACAGAGGGTTAAGCAATCTGGCAGCTGGGACTAAGCAGCAATTGGATTTTAAGAGGTATATGGTAACAACATAAACTTACTTTCAATTTGTATATCAATTTACTCACATAAGGGCTTGCTTGGAAAATTAGGACTTTTGCTTTTCAGAGGCAGTACAGTAGAGAACAATGCTCTTTGTCCATATTAATGGATTGAACTAATCTTAAGTCAATTATACAAAAAGAGAGCCTTGATATCTGTCTGACAAAGACTTTAGAAGTGCCAAATAACTGAAGCTACATTACTGACTGCTGGTAACTAGAAATCAGCTTATATCACATATTAGTAAAGTCCAATTTTCAGTACACAGCATTACAAGACAAGAGTGACTTGTGAGAATATGGTACATTTTTGCAAGAAACATGCAACTTGATTGCTTCCTTCAGTTAAAATTGTTACTATGAGTATTTCTACTTTCATAAATTGCCAATTTTTCCCCACCAAAATTCCAGGTGAAATAGCAATACCCATCTGTGCATCATGAAAAGAATACTATGTACTCTTGCTATTCACAGTGATGACTGGAGTGCAAAAAATAAGATCTTGGTTCAGAAATTTGGTCAAGAGTAGCAACCACTTTAACCAACCCTAGCCACTCAAAAGTGATGCACCTAGTATAACTTTATGTTCTTACAATATTCAAAAAATACAGATCAACAACAATGAACTGGCCCACTGAAATCCACAAAATACCTCTCAGATACATTATCTTTACCTACATATATATGTACATGTACATTAAATGAAAGCGGCATTTTTCAAAGATACAGAATAAGCTACTTCCCATGTGGTCTAGGTGTTTCTATTCACTTTACAAGGATGCACACAGTTGTTATGTTAAACTAGGTGCTTCAATAACATAACTAAATATCCAAAACTATTTGGGCCAGTCCTAATGAAACAGCCCAATAACAGGATTTCATAGTATCACTAAAAACACTACAAAAATGGTTTACAAAGAGTTGTACAAACCTGGTCCGTTTTCCTTTGTGAGTAAAACTCAAACCCTCCTAGAGAATTCTGAAATTCTTCTACATAACACTTTTACACAGTTATTTTATTGCATGGGAAAGCTCAAAAAGTATACAAGTTCTATTGCATTTTGCAAGTGCACGAACTTCTCTAATTTCTACCAAATTCACCTCAACTAAATCCTCTTGATTTTCCTGAGAGCTTTCCATAAGCATTTCATAATCTGTTCTCCCTCACTAGCCTGCTTCCATTTGCACATTCCCCTCCAATGCTACAGTAGCAACACAAATTTCTTTCCGCATACCTTTCAAGTGCCACAGGATATGTGGCATTTGAAATTATGTGGTATTAGCACCACATAATAAAGGAGACATTAGGATAGCCATTTTTTACTTTCCTGTGTAAAAGATTAGAGAGAGTTAAACAACTTTTGAAGAACCACGTAACACCATTTTTTTCTACCCTTTGACAGTCTGACACAGTTGAATGCATCTTGGGATGAAGTAGTAACAGCAGGCTCACCTGGGTATCAATTAGCTGACAGTGGAATACTGGAAGAACATCTACCTATCCCGTAACAGAATCACACCAATGCCTTTAACCACATTTCAGGTGATCCTTGTCATGCCAGTCAGAAAGATATGTGGAAACTACTATTTAATTGATATTTTCTTGAATATGCAGGAAGAAAAAAATGGTAGAGCTATCTTATGTGGGTACAAAACGAGGCAATAAGATAAAGTTTGTTTTTAAAATTCAGGATTTATAGCAATATGTGTTTTTGCAAGCTACTGCTAGTAGCTGGTCAAAGTGCAGCTATTCATTACAAAGAACATAAAGACATACATGCTCCTCGGGTGTTTCTCTGTGTCAAGCAAAATAATTTTATTTCACAGTATTTTTGGTTTCAGCTCCTGTCAGGGTTCATGTGAATTTTCTTTATGCACTGTGAACCGATGGTAACTTAATTTAACTGAACTCTATGAGCTACTGGGGGAAGCTGATTGCCGGACATAATTTAAGATAATCAATCATCTAGGCCATTTTGGCAGATTGGGCTGTCACCAAGTGCATGACTAAGAGACACAGATTTGCTTCTCCGTAAATTATCTTATTCCTACCACATATCACTTGACTCTGTTTAAAGTAAGCAGCAGAAAAATATTTTTAGAATTTTTCTTAAGAATGTAATAAATACTTCTCTTCCATATATAAGGCTTTTTCCAACATGTAACTGCTGTGTCATAAAAACTAAAACACCTCATATAATTACAATGTTCTGGTCATTACTTGCAATGGAAAAATTCCAAATATTAAATAATTTAAAAAGCAAATAAACTCCTGCCTGTAATCTTTGACATCGTATCCTTTCTACCTAGATAACGGTTAGCATTCTTCCAAAAATTAAAGAATTCTGAAGTTTTTTCTGGAAGTTAGTATTACTAAAATATGGTCATTTCATTATGGTCATTTTAGCTGGTATTGTTACCATCAGTGATTAACAGGGTAAGATGAAGTGTAATTGCTTAGTGACTCAAAGGCAGAGAAAAAAATGTGTTCATTTTAACTTGAGCTCATACAGATTTGAGGATATCAGCACACACCTCTTCTAATATTTTCATTGCAGAGACCCTAGGAGATTCCATTCATGAAAGAGTAAGATAAAATATTGAAAATCCCTACCTTCACCTGATGATCCTGAAAGGTCTATGATGACATACACTCTCCCTTCTGGCTCCAAGTCGATCTGTAATCGAGAAGAGAAAAAGAAAAAAAAAAACCAAAATCAAACTTAGATCGGCTCCCAAAGCAAGTAACTGCACATGCAGGAAACAAGAAGTTTCCAAACCTCACAAAGTCAAGATGTAGGCAGGACACATTCTCTAACAATAGAGCCTCCTTTTGCAAAGAGGTGTTGAGGACCCTGCACCTTCACCGGAATAAAAAAGAAGTGTGGACACGTGGAAAGTCTGAGCTCAGTGAATTTTACATTTCAAATATTTAATGTACTGTTCCAACATATATTTGCACCACTATTTTCACGAAAGTCAAAAAATGCCACAACTGAGCAACTTTTTTACTGTAATTTATATTGAGCCCAGATATGCAAATGTGGAAAACAACACTGTGACAGCAAGACAGATCAGCTCTGGCCACAGAACAGGGGAAATGAACATACACAGCTCATACAGTCAGTTAACACATGTTTATAGTACTCCTTTTGTATCCCCACTGGGAGAAAGAAATACATGCTTTATCCTCTTTATCTGTAACACAAAATTCGTTTATTTCTGCACCATTCTGGTGGATTTTTAGAAGTCTCTACCCATGTGGACTTTCACTCAGTATGAAATATAGGTGTTCAGTATCAAGCTGCTGTACTTCCAAGATGTCACAGGCTATGAGAATAAGCTCCGGTAAGTTTAGACACCAAAATGAAGAGCTTATTACAGATCTTCCTGTATGTTATCACAAGTTTGATAAACACAATCAGCAAATCTAAATATTGCTGGGTTTGAGTATATTAATGGTACACAACAAATTAAAATCTATTTTTGCTGCTACACATCTCAAAAATAAAACTAACTAAAACATTAAGTACTCAGTAGCTTCTGCTGTAACATAGCAGTTACTGTCACATGATTTCAGAGACTGAGTGACATGACCTTCTGTATGTTAATAGTGTATCTTCAACCTATTTTAGTAAGAAAACCAGACAGGTAAGATTGCAAGGGACCTTGTCTGCCAGGACCTGTCCTGTGTCACACCACTCCAGACAGGAACAGGTGGTCAAGGAGGCACCAGGGCAGCCCCGGCCTGTCAGGCCCAGCGCTGGGGATGGGGGCAGGCCAGGGCCAGGCCCAGGCAGGATGTGTGCTCTGCTCCCACAGCAGAAACCCCAGAACTTGCCCCATGCTTCTGCTACTTGAAGGCAATTGCACGCGGAGGTTGTGGCTGGGAACAGGCGCTCTCCCCTGCCTCCTCATCGCAGCCTGCTATCCCACAGCAGGGAAAGGTGGCCTTGCCTACCCCGTGCCAGCAAATGACACTGAGCCGACCCTCTCCTGTCACAAGAGACATCAAGGTACAACACTAGGCCAGCAAGAGGTGAGAAACAGGGGATCACCAATTGACACTAATAACTTAGGAGACCAACCTGCTGGTTTTCACGAATTAGTGAGTAAATAAGGGGACACCAGAACACCCAAGCTATGCCAGGCTTTGCCAGCCTGCATTCAGTGGACAGCCCCATGGGGCCACCTGTTTTGTCTTCAGGTTTCTCTCATCACCTGAGAGGGCTTTACAGAAGAGGCTTTTCTCTCTCTTTCAGGACATGTTGCTGAATGCATCAGGATCAGGATGATGCAAGCACCTCCTTCCACTGACCACTGGCCTTCAAGACAGGGCCAGGAGAAGAGTTCACAGGTCCTGCTGATGTCATCAGAGCAACAGATCAAGAAAATTATCTCAGCAGCTGTATTGTAAATAGACCAGGCAGGAAACAGCATTAGCAAGGCCAGGGGTTACTCAAGGGAGAGGAAAATGAAGATGCAGGTGTCTGTTTTTTTTATAAATAACGAATTTCCAAACATCCAAAAAAGACATTTTTAACAATTCCTGAATTGGCAGCATGAGTTTTGTGAGGGAGCTTTTTTGGGGGGTTTGGCTTTTTGTGTTTTGTTTTAAATAAAGCTGCTGATCTTGAAAAACTGCTCCCCTCCCTTTGCCATTTTTAAATAAGAAAAATATTAGAAGATCAGAAGCACAGGTGCACGAAAAGACTTTGATGTCTGTGCTGAAGGAGGTTTTTGAAAAACTGCTACAGCACTCAACAGACGGCTGTATTAAAGACAGACATGTCTAATGCTCTGTTTGTGGCAGCACTATACACTGTTTCATTAAGCTTTCAGTAAAATACTTTATGCAGTTCAAATCCCAGTATGCACGCACACACCTAAACTACCAACATCATCCCTGCAGAAGATTCAGGCATCAGATTACTGACCACCATCACAAAATCTCTGTTCTGCCCCTTGAACTACAAACAGCATTGGAAGGAACTCAGGAAAAAGACTGGAGGCCTGAAACCAAGTTTCCATTACCCAGCAAGTCGACTGTTTCAATTTACATTTTATTAAAAATGATGCTTAGTGATTTTGAATTGGAAATTTTGCTGATGCTCTAAGAAAAATGAACTATTTATAAAAGGAAGTCTCTTTTATAAAGAAAGCATGTTTCAGTCTTCATATGCCAGTAAGAATGAAATGGACATATTCTTATTTTTAGATTTATTAAATACCCACATTTCATTTCAGTGAGTACTTGCACTGACAGTCTTATCAGTCATATGGATTACTACTTTTGCCAGAAGCCAGCAGGCTGACCCTACATATGAAATGAATACCCCAACAAAAGCAGAAACCCCTAGACTGATAGGAACCCTTCTTTTCTTCTCAGTTCTTCCATGTATCAAGCCAAACAGAGAAAAAAAGGACCAATTCAATCTTCATTATTCATTAAAAATGTTTAATTTTATGCCTAGAAACATAATGGCATAAATACCTCCAAAATAGACTACTAGAATATGCATGCCTTTTCTTTTCAATCTGTGCATTAAGCTATGCTTAGATTCTGCAATGTCATTTTATAAATAAGTAACAAAAGATGCATACAACAAAATCTGAAGTTCCCATGTGTTTTTCATCAAATGCCATGGAAGTTATCACATGTGAAATGCCCTTAGACATATGTAACCAGAAACAGAATGACTGGCCAAATTCAGCTGAATAGAACAGGCATCTTTGAATGCAATGGAAGTAGTTTGAGCATGGCCATTCTGATTCCAAGCCTTCTCTTTGACTAAAAATACTTCTCTCCAAATACAGCCTAGCTTTTAGATGTGCAGAGAGAACTTACAAGGACACATCTAAAAAAGATATACTGCTCAAAAGGAAACAGGGAATAAGGCAAGATGCAAATTAGGGATGGGACAGAGGAGTTGATACAAGAGCAGCTTTGCTGTAAGAAAGACATATTGCAAAATATGTGCCTTGCTTACATATGTCACATTTGCCATACACAGCAAAAGATGTAACAACTATCACTGAGAAAATCTTTGATCACTGAACTATTTGTTCCTATTACTGACCCATGTGATTTCTGTGACTTGTTGAAATACAGTTTTAGCACGTGCAAGCAATATTAATTAAAAAGATAATTTAAACTTCTATATTACTCAAATAATAACATGTGGCAGCATACTGAGATGAGTACAATCATTGCTGGAGAGCAGCACAGATAAGCAAAAACTCCAGGCCTGAATAAAATCTATTAGCAGCCTGTTTCAGGGAACAAAAGGCAACCATCCATAAAACCAGACATACTTTCAGAGGAAAAAAAACATGTTGAAACCAAGGCCAAGCTTCAGCATATTGAAGGCATTTATACAGTTTCACAGTCATTAATGGATTTTATTTTCAACACCCTTCTGAGACAGTTCCCCATATGCAAAATGGGATACTCCCAAAGACACAAACTAGACTAAATGACTTTCTGGAAAGTCATACAAGAAGCCTATAGTTAAACAAGAACTGAACTCTGGTCTCTGGAGGCCCAGACTGCCCACTGGACCATTACTCCCATTCCTCAGTTAGGTTTCACTTTGTCAAGCAATATACATCCTGTCTTCCAGCAGTATCAAATACTACCAAGAACTTTTCTTTTCTCTTTTTTTTAGAGAGCTTTAATGGGTGCACATCTAGGATGCAACTTCTTTTCTTTTTCATTCAGACAATATTAGTAAAAACAATACTGAACAAAGTATGCTGAAACATTTCTCTGCAGTATTTTCAATGGATCATAATATTTGGGTAACCTCAAGTAATGCAAAATTTCATCAAACTATGCAGAAGATTGTGAAGATGGTCCAGCTTTTCCTCCAGGTTTGTTATTTCCAAGTTTTTAACTCCTAAGTGTTTTGAAATACTGAGCCCTAAACTCGGTTAGAAGTTCACCATTTTCCTCCTCTCAGGTGTAAGGCATTATTTCCCACCCCTAAAAATATAAAACTTGGAGAGAATTCTCTTAGACCAAGATTTTCTAAGGAAACCAAACACTCTTTCTAATCTTAAAAGGACTAGGAAGATTAGAACATGCTATGGAAATAAATACTTGTGTTGCACTGATGCTTCTCATTTGAATATGAGTAAGATTTTATGTACAGCCTGAATAATTCCATCAGCATTTGGGGGTGTTCTTTTCATTCCATTTGATAGCATCAACACATATTTTGCATGCTCCATGGCACAAACTGAGACCTGTTGTAAGCAAATTACAAACCACTGTCTTCAGTGGCTCAGTGCCCCACTGCCACAGGGTTTTCTTTGATCATAAGAGTCCATCAGCCACCTCTGTTCCAACATAAGGATGTCACCTGAGCGCACTGTACTCATTTAAAAGCCAACAAGTCTCAAGAGAAATTTAAGGACAGTCATTGACAAATTCAGATCTGAAATCAAAAATGAGTGGACAAATGCTTTTTTTTATGACTGAAATTCCTACAAGCATAAAGACTGAACAAGTTTTACTCTGATCTTCCTTAGAGAGACAATATATGAAAGACAGCAAAATCCCTTCAAATCTAAAGCTGTTGAGGATTTTAGCAACAGTATAAACCTAAATGGACTGTATAAGCCACAGAAACAGAAAGAATTAAATCATAAAAACTGCTTTGCACCTCTTCTTGTG